GAAGCTGAGAGTGCAAGCTTATTAAAAAAAAAACGATCTTGCTACGATGATTTTTAACGGAGATATCGTCGGTAATGTCGAAAACACAAGGGTTATTTCAATGAGCTGTGATTTGGTGAAAAAAATCGTAGGAACTTCTTTTTTTAAATTGAAGAGAAAAGTATACACTTTTTGATACCGTAAGCAGAACTGGCGAAGAAAAATTACTACACTCCGCACAGTGCGTCAAAGTGTGCAATTTTGTAAAGAAAGACATGGTCATGATTTTGAGAAAGTTCCGGGAAATGGGAAGAGTGAATGCAAATTCCAATAAGAGCTTCTTAAAGCAGAGGCTTTGCCCTATAAAATGAAAAAAAAAACTTTTCAATTCGACCAGTTTTCGCGAAGTTACGCTTATTTGAAATTTCGCCAAATTTTGATGTAAATTTCTTGTTGCGTTAATTTTTTTGACCAGTATATGTATGTGTAAGTATAAATATACGTATATAGGTGTACAACCGTAGATGTGTACATGTTGTAGGTGTGTGTAATATCAACAATTAGAAAAACTAATGCAAATATGCAGTCAAACACTATTCAAAAAAGGGTACAGAGAATCAGACAGTTACAAGAATTAAATTAAAACAATTAAATGTTTCTAAAAGTTATATGTTCAATAAAACATGAGAAATATGAATTAAATTAGAATTTTGTTTAAACAATTAACATAAAAATTATATATCATTTAAAGAAAGGTAATAAACAGTACACCAAGTATCCGTATGTTCTGGGAACAATTCTCATGTACAGTATGTCCATAACTTTAATTTCAGGTAAATATCTCGAAAACATGGTAGATGCAATAATATGCAACAAAAAGTATGGGTTGTCATTTGATAATTTATAGTTAACCTTGGCAGGGATTTTTAAAATAATCACAAAATCAAACACATGTTAGCATCTGTCCTCTTTCATATTCTACAATTTTTGTCTGAAATAATTTTTCGTATTTTTCGAAATACTCGTATTTGCCTGAGACAATTAAAATGAAATACTCTGTACTTATATCAATACATGACGTGTTGGTTTATGTTATAGCAATAGTTTATAACAAATATCCATTTTTGTCTAAATAACTTGTATAAATTATTTGTACAATCTTAACTGTGCAAAAAAGGAAAATTTGGTGTATTATTTATATTAATAATTAAAAAGTCTTACGTAATCGTAGGAGACTGATAATGTCCAGAAAATTTCTTAGCTTTTCCAGACAGCAGTATCTACGAACAATGAATTTTTACTGCCGGCTGTATATACAGTAATAAGTATGTTATACCTATTTATAACTAACCTTGTCGGACAGAGCATAACCAACAATAATAATCATATATTCGATACTGTGTAAGAGAAACACTCTTATGAACATTCGTAGAATATAATAGATTCTATTATATAGGGTATCTTTTTAATCTTAACAGGCAAATATTTCGAAAATATGCAAATATGAAATTGCATATTTTCGAAATATTTGCCTGTTAAGATTAAAAAGACACCCTGTATATTCTTAGAATATAACAGATGATATGGAAACATTTCTTGTTTCAGCGAATGCGACATGTTAAAATGTGTGTGTGCGCGTGTGCGTGTGCTCTGTTACATATTGAACTAATATATATAATATACTATGTGTTAAAAAGAATGAATGAAAAGTTCTTATTTCAAGTTAGCAATTCCCTATCTACATATATATGTATGATTTCGTAGCTACAACGTTCAGTGGTATAGAGCTCCGTTACACATACAAAAAATGATACTGTTCTTATTGCAAAGAGGATCCAAAGAATTTACTTTAAATGTCTATGGATTAGTGGACGGATCTATAGAAAATTTCGCCATGGTAATATTTTCTAAAATATTTCAAAATAGTATACAGTGATACAATAATAAAAAATATTTATAACTACAGCTAATAAAGGCTTCGGTATCTTATTTTACCATCATATGTTCTACACGTTCAATTTAATAACACCATGGTGAGGACATAATTAAATAAACAAATGTATTTATGCATAGGAAATAAATTGATAGACTCTTTGAACGTATAATGTAAATAAATGTTTCTCTCTATTAAAAGAGGAGATTTATTAATACACACCTCAAGTTTTTCTAATGTATTGAAATCGGTTGTTATATTAACTAAGGTTTATACATATATGTATACACAGCGTATCATTAAATATTTTCCATTGTCTTTATATAAGATTTTCTCCATGCGCAATTTGGTAATAATAGATTACTTTATTCTTAATTAATTTACCATCTATACTAAAATTTATCACAGTCGTCAAATTGATGAGATGCCTATCTAGAGAATAGAGAGGGTCAAGTTCAAACCCTGGCTGAGGTAATATCTTCGCAATAAATTTAAAATAAGAATTACTTAGACACTAACATCCTGTCATGTCTCTTTCGTACCTTATTCCTTCGAATTTGTGCTTAATTAATTAATTTTACATAAACACTTACATAAATATTTAAGTGTACATAGTTTATGTTAATAAATAACATATACATATATGTTGCAAAAATTAAGAAATAAAAAGAAAGAGTTTTTCCAATAATGAATAATTATAAATAACTAGATAGCTAACAGTGAGTTAACGCATTACTATTAAGCATTAGTTAAAAATATTAATTGCGCTGATTGCAAATTTAAATTATAAACATGTACTTACGTAACGAAATTATTTTTATGAGTTTTAGATATCACGAGACACGGCAGTGTCTCGCGCCAAGTGTAAGCGCAGCTAGCACCGCGCACGCGAGACCGATCGTGTATAAGTTTACGCGAGTACACGAGTTGACGGGCCCTCAGAATTTCGGATCTCAACAACGGCTGTTCCGACGAAGTTGAGACTGCGCTTAATCGATAGCTTGGGTACGATTTGCATAATAAAAGTATTTTTACTTTTCTCCTACGTGCCCCATGAGTAGAGATATTGCAATGCAAAGTCCACGGGTCTGAATTTTCACGTAATTTTTTTAAGAAACGTCGTCATCGTGGTCGTCGTCGTGGTCAACCAGGCCAAAATCCATTTCACTTTTCTATCGCAACGTCGCGTTGGCGCTGCTGATCAGATATACTTGGTTTCAAAAATAAAAGCTAAAAGACATCCTTCTCGGGAACCAAATGTTTCTTATGAGTGCGTACACTAGAATGAAGTTCTAGCGCTGTAAAAAGGAAGTGCGCCTGCGTAGTTTTCAGCAAGTAGTTCAATTTCATAATAAATATACATCTCTACGATGGCGTTTATCATTAAATCGATCACATAAATATTGACTGAAAAAGTGGTCGAAATTACCGCAATTGATCTTATAGCAAACTGTTAGACTATTATTTGTACTATAAGTAAGAAATTGTATTTTGTGTTCACATTTAGAAAAAAGGATATAGCATATTTAATCGACCATCGGTAAAAAGAGGGGATAAATGCATTTGCTTTCTAAATTCACAGTAATAATTTGGAGCTTACAGAGACATGGCACGTCTAGTTCACTATTGCACTCTCAATAAAATTCTATTGCTTAGTGTCGGCTTATGGCCTTACCACCAATCTAAACTTACTCAATTTCAGTCTATTGTCTTATATGCTATTTTGTCAACGGGTATTATATTTCAGGTAAAGCTACATAGTATATAGTATCATAGTATAGGATAAATTAGCTCATCTTTCAAGTAATGACAATTATCTAATTTAAGTTTTGTTAAAAATACATAGCATTGTTACTATTGATTATGTTTACATATAAAATACTAAATTATTTTCATTTGTAGATAACATCATTAATAACATGTACTTCGGATCTTGTTATCAAGGTGCTGTCTTCCATAATTTTTGTTTTAATGTCTATAATACAGTATAACACATTCTATTTTAATATCGAAGATGTAAGTTGATTTTACACTTTATTTGTCAAACAGGATTAATCTATCGATCAAATAAATTTTTATGTAAATATTATTTTTCTGCGTATACGAAGTCAGTACAGAAAATTGATAAACTGACAGGTCAAGAACTTACTAATGGAGCTTCAACATGTACATAATAAATTAAAGGACGAAAATGAAATTGCTATTGTAGAGAAGTATAGTTGTATCGCGAAACGTTACACGATTGTACTTATGGGTAAGACAATATTTATTAAGTTCTTCATATGATCATATTTTCAATGTATCTAAAAATAATCTGTCCAGTGAAAAAATAATTTTAGCACATTTAAAATTTCGTACATATGTATTTTTTGTAAGTTCGTTAAAGCTGTTTATATCACTCGTGCACGGAAAAGTGCCTCTTTTTTGACAGTTTTTCGTGCCCAAAATAGACATTTGCCGACACAATACAGTTTGCACGCAACATGGCGTCAACTGTGCGGAAAAAGCCGTGCGGTAAAATTATTACCGCACACTTTAGCGCTGTTTTTGTTTATCTCCCAGCACAATTGTCGATCTCTCTTCCACACGCCGTCTTCGACAGATGACAGGTTAGCCTCAAAGTTTTTACACGTAACTGTCAAAGAAGAGGTACTTTTCCGTGCACTTATAATATAAAATAGTATGTGATACACACATGTGCGGGAGATTGGCTATTGGCCACTCGTGCGGATGGGCGCACGAGCCGAAGGCGAGTGCGCCCACCCGCTACTCGTGGCCAATAGCCAATTTTCCGCACATGTATCACAATATGTATACTATTACGTATTTGCATTTACAATAAATGGCAAATGTATTTAATATTTGCACAAAGTAGAAAAATAACTATTAATTGTACAGAAAAATTTGATTTTGTTAGAATTAGAAGTTATTATATGGTATACAGGGTGTCTGATAAGTTGCTGATTAACCGAAATATGTAGGTAGATTAGGGCAAGCTGAAAAGAAAAGTCATGATGCAAAATTCGCAATAATTATTGAGTTATTAATTAATACGTCTAAGCGAATAAACACGCGGAAACAGGCTTCCGACTGTAGGCTGGGCTCGGTGGGCGTAGCGTCGCTCGCCACCCGCCGCTCTTTGCTCGAGGGACGAGGAGCGGCGGCGAGCGGCGAGTGGCGAGTGGTGAGTGGTAAAACGCTTTTATAGACTAAAAAAAATTTAAATAACATTCGTTTTTACTACTTTCAGGAATTGTAATATGCGGAATGTGTAGTCTTGTTATAGTTCAACTATGGTTGAATATAGCTAAAGTTGATTCACGAATAAATGCATCCGAGCCGTATTATTTATTCATCATGGAATATTTTGTTGATCAGAAAAAGTATTTTTATCTGATTGTGCTGCACACTAACACAGTATTTTGCTTCGGTGATATTACAATGATGGCCGTAGGTACAATGTTCATCACATATATTGAGCATATGTGTGGAATGTTTAGAATTGCTAGGTACGAATGTGAACATAGGAATATGAGCACAATAATTTAAATTATTATATAAAATTTGTTACTTTCATAAAACATGTTATATTTAAGTAAAAAAATGCGTTATATGGTGCTATGTTTGTAGCAAAAAAATTGCACTCCGAGTTGCTGTGTAATTAAAGCAAACATTTATAGCTATCGTATCGAGCACGCAATAAACATCGATGTTCTACAAAATATTACGTTTAAAAATAAAATTTTGATGACTGAAGGTATAATTTGTGCCGTGGACATTCACCGTCAAGCTATGAAGTTTGTATTTACTTCAACAATGTTCGCCAATACAGTAGTAATAGTTTTTTGTTTTTGAAGATTATCCAAATATTTTCTGGCCACATTTGAAAACATGGTATGTTGTCTTACTGTATGTGTAGTAGCTGGCTTTAGCCTCAATTTGTTTCAAGTAAGTTGCCTGTTTATGTAATAATGAACGAGAGTTGCATCAAAATTATATATTTATAATAATTCTATAAATACAGGGTGTTCCGCAGTTCTCTGACCGTCGTTCACGAGAAGGTAGAGAGGATCAAAATAAACAGAATAGTCTTTTACTATTTGCAATTGGAATAATAATTATCGAGATATTGATAAACAAATCGCCGTATAAGCCCGACCTCCTGCCACATGTAAGCGCGCGGTGAGATGCCCATCGTCCCCTGGGTAGGTTGGGCTAATACGGCGAATTTTTATGATCAATATCTCGATAACTATTGTTCCAAGTGCAAAATGGTAGAAGACTTTTTTGTTTGCTTAGCCCCCTCTACCTTCCCGTGAACGGCGGTCAGATCACTGCGGAACACTCTGTATAATAGATAATTGACGAATCAATGTCACAATAAAAATTTTCTTTCTAAACCAATAAATGGCAAGTGCTGTATGTATGGTATATGTATTTGCAGATGCGTGAGGAGAAAAAGAACACAAAAAATAGCCAAACATTTACGCTGTTTTGAATCATAATAATGTTACATGTTATTTTGTAAATTTGTTTATGTTTGTTGTCAATCTTGTTAAGAATTGTTGTAAATCTAGATAATCTGGAAACAACTCTCATATTTATATAATAACAAAATATTAATACTTATATTACTTGAATAAATTATTTATATATTCAGTTAGTAACATGAACAAAGAATATTTGTGTATTTCTCATAATCTAATATTTACTACGTTTATTATCATTATGAGATAATATTTACTGTATATACATACGAGGTCTGTAAATTAAGTAATGAGACTGGCCGCCGCGCGGCGCTCCAGTCGCTAGCAGCGCGCCCCCTGGAGGCGGGATTTGTAGTGGGGGGCTAAGCTAAACAACGCACCGGGCGGCAGTCGCGTCCGAGCTTAGACGCAGTGAGAATTACGCGTGGCGCAAAAGCTGTTTTGAGTTCTTGTCACGGCAGAAAACGTCAAAAATGGAACGTTCGCTGGAGCGGCGCTACGCGATTAAATTTTACTTTCACCTGGGCAAAACCGCTTCCGAGACGCTTGCCTTGGTTAAGGAGGCTTACAAAGACGACGTCCTGTCGGGTGACCTTCTATTGGACACGTAACGATTGGACACCTCTCGATTGGACACGCACTATTGGACACGCATTATTGGACACCGAAATCATTGGACACCGCATTATTGGACACAAGCATTATTGGACACCGCATTATCGGACCCAAGCATTATTGGACACCGCATTATTGGACACCGCATTATTGGACACCGCATTATTGGACACCGCATTATTGGACACCGCATTATTGGACACCGCATTTTTGGACACCGCATTATTGAACACAAGCATTGCAGGATTGAACACTGCATTGGGATTGTCCTGATTGCACACATAACCGATCGGACACGGCAATATTTCCCGATCGGACACAGGCTCGATCGGACACAGGCCCGATCGGACACGGACTTGATCGGACACAGGCCCGATCGGACACATTTTGTATCGGGTTTGCGTATTTCTGTAAAGCACAAT